ATATACCAGCCCACCCTACATCGAGCAATTACTAGACCATTCGCCAAGATACAGGATAGTTCTAGAAACAAGTGAGCGTGAGAATTGTCACGTGATCTCGATGACGCAACAGTACTAAAAATTTCCTCTTTAATGTATACCCCAGTAGCTCAGCGGTAATATTTTGAGGCTTATAATGCTAAAATTTGGGATTTTATTATGCGGAGTAATTAACATACCGAACTATGGGTCTATGAGTCCAGTATCCCTTGCCAGAAAAACAAAATAGCGTTTCGCAATTTGAAACCGTGGACGGGTTGCAAGACTGGCAGTCAGATCCCACTATTTGGTAGCCCATTATTGGGTAATTGGTACAGTTCACTAGCTGCCCTTTCTATAGTCTTTCAGCTTTATGTCAATATCCAAAGACAAATAACTGGTTCCCAGGGTGAACACAGGAAATATAACTGTTGTTTAGATGTGGTCATGATAATTAATTTCAAAACAAAAATATACATTTATATGTTTAAATCATATTTAATAATGAAGCTTAATAAAACAACAACAGAGGCGTCGGAATCAGGAGTACTCTAGTACCCCCACTTTTACGTATTTCATTTATATAGCAATTGTAAGTTATATTACTACATTAATTTTGTGGAGGACATGCTTCTAGACCTCTCCTAGATTGAGTTTGTTTGTTTTGAATTTCGCGCAAAGCTACATGAGGGCTATCTGCGCGAGCCCTCCCTAATTTAGCAGTGAAAGACCAGAGGGAAGGCAGCTAGTTATCACCACCCACCGCTAACTCTTGACCTACTCTTTTACCAACGACCTTCACATTATAACGCCCCCATGGCTAAAAGGGCAAGCATGTTTGGTGGGACGGAGATTCGAACTTGCGACCCTCAGATTGCGAGGAGAGCGCCCTAACCACCCGGCCATCCTAGATTGAGCTGCCTTTAGAAGCACGGGGAGCTGCTTTTAGCAGCTTCTTATACTTTCAATCTCTAATTGTAAAATCTATATTTATATTCAAGCACCCCACTTTCAACTCTTTTTTTTGCACCAGTGAACAACATAAAAGAAATAGATAGCTAGCACAATCAGGTGAAATGCAGAAATGACATTTTGGGTTATCTAGGTACAAATATCATCCTGTTATAAGCAATATTGTTAATGTTTTACTTTAAATGTTTGCTAGAGGGAACTCATGATTACTACGACGTTAGGGTCTAGAAAACTGATGAAAGTTAAAAATCGAGAACGTGACCTTAAGATATAAATATGAATGAGTAATGAACAAATAGTCAATGATTGATTGAGAAATTATGAATAATCAGTGAGTCTGTTCAGTGCCAGTCAGAAGTGAGAGTCAACTACGCGAGGAAAATTTATATGATTGGCTCTGCACAACATGAATTAGCGAAGTGGCTTACGGAAATTTTAGAACAGGTGTTAAGGTACTTTTCAGAAAACTGTATTCAAGACTCCTTTTCTTTTGCTACAACCACACAGAACCTTGGCCCTGACACTAAACAATCGTTTTTGTGTTCTTTCGACATCAGCAGCCTCTTTACTAATGTACCCTTGGAAGAAACCATCACAATTTGTGCAGATACTTTGTATGGTGGAGAAGTTCAGTGCCCTCTAATACCTAAGGATCTGTTTATTGAACTGATGAATACTGCGACACGTTCGGTGGAATTTACCTTTAATGATATAATGTATCAACAGATTGACGGAGTCGCCATGGGTTCTCCTCTTGGACCTGCCTTAGCCAATATTTTCGTTGGTTTCCATGAAAAAGAACTATTCAACAAAGTTACCAGACCTGCTGTTTACTTCCGCTATGCAGATGACATATTTGCCATTTTTAAAACTGAACAGGAATGTGAATGTTTCTTACAAGACCTAAACTCGTTGCACTCGGCTCTCAAATTTACTTTCGAAAAGGAACAACATAACTCTTTACCATTCCTAGTCGTCTTAGTTGAAAAAGATGACTTTCATTTTCACACCAGTATATACAGAAAACCTACCTTTACAGGACAATACTGTTACGTCTCTGGTCGTTAGTTAATTTTCCGTAAAAATTCTTTCCGAAAAAGCTTTAGCGATATAAGTCCTTTTTAAATAAAACTGGTTTATTCTTTCTTTATTTTTCCTTCAATGTCTTGAAAGCATACTGGCAAGAAACTGTCCATTCAAACTTCTGGCCTTTTTTGGTCAAATCATGTAGTGGAGCAGCTATAGTTCCAAAGTCCTTCACAAACTTTCGGTAATAGGTACAGAGCCCCTAGAAACTTCTTAACTCTCTCATATTGTCTGGTGTTGGCTAATCATGCACTGCTTTCACCTTGTCAGGATCAGTTTGCACACCATGCTCACTTACAATGTGACCTAAGTAAAGCACCTCTTTCTGGCACAAGTGGCATTTCTTGGGATGGAGTTT